CCCCCCCCCCCGCCCCAGTTTATCCTCAGTTCTGTAACTGGGAAGGCACACAGCTGACTCACGTGGCCTGGGGTGTGGCTAATGAACAAAGGGGGTCCCCAAGGTTTCAGAGAGGTAAGGTCTTTGATCAGGCTGTAAAGACACACTCAGCAGGAACCACGGGTCTCAGTTCAAGATCATGGGAGCCATGTAGACACCCAGTTTCTCAGAGCGTTGGTGGCCAAACGTCCATGGGGTCCCAGGCAGATGAAGGAGGGCCCCAGACCTGGGCTGCAGAGCATCTGGCCCTGGGTGACCCTGGGCGGCCCTGGCGCGCAGAGTGGACTGGCCATCTCTCCATCACGGAGGTAGCAAGTGGCCGGGCCTAAGCTGGCTGCGTTTGCATCCCACCATGCCCGTAGTGACGTTGAAGGTAAGGGTGGTGCTTGAGCTCTTACGGGGTGCTAGCACTGAGAACTTCACTTAGAACAACCCTGTGAGGTGGATGCGTTTTTCTAGGCAAAGACAGTGAGGCTCAGAGAGGTTAAACCCCTTGCCTGAGCTCACACAGCTTTCAAGTAGTTTGGCAGGATTTGCACCAGATCTTTCCAAATTCCAGCCCGGGCTTGTGACCACAGTTTCTCCCTGGAGGAGTGTGACCTCATGTGTCTTTTGGCCTCAGTTTCCCAGCCCGTAACTTGAGGGAGTGGGGCTCATCTGGGAGTCCGGAGCTCCACAGAGTACCCCCAGCACGTGGTAAGGAGGCTATAGGTGGGTGGTGTCCCTGGTGAGGGGAAAAGTGACCATTACTTCCTGCAGTGGCCATCGCCTCCGAGGCTGAGCACCGTCTGTTTGAGAGGCTGTTCGAAGATTACAACGAGATCATCCGACCTGTAGCCAATGTGTCTGACCCCGTCATCATCCAGTTTGAGGTGTCCATGTCTCAGCTGGTGAAGGTGGTGAGTGCTGGCACCGCAGGCCATGGCCATGGGGTGCGGGGCTTCTGGAAGAGGCCTCCCCAGAACCAGCCTCCTGTTTGAATTCACTGTGCACTTTTTATCTCTCCTTCTAGGACGAAGTAAACCAGATCATGGAGACCAACCTGTGGCTCAAACAAGTAAGTGAGCGGACCCTGGGCGCTGCTGCCCCCTGGTGGTGTCTTTTGTATTTGCTGTGCGGGACCCACAAAGAGCCCAAACAGCCAGCTTCACTCTGGTGAACCCAGATTGGGATGACTGGCTAGTGTGTCTCTTCCTGGGCTTGGAGTCACATGCACTACTCCACGCTCCCCCTGGAAGTCAGCCCCTCAAGTCACAGATGACAGATCGCAGCTTGGAGGGAGAGACCTCCTCGGCAACACAGCAAACTAGGACAGACCTGGGCCTGGAGCGCAGCCCCTGACTTTGGGCTGGTGCCTGAGGCCACCTCCTTCCCTTCTTGCCAAAAATTTGCCCTTCAGTTCAAATCAGATGCTGTTGCTTTCTTTGGTAGAGTGGGAGCAGAGGCTCTGGATTTTCCTGTTCAGATTGAGGCCAAAGAAACAGGCTTCCACATGCCCCCCCCCCCACCCAGGGAGACTTTGCCCAGATCTAGGCAGATACCTCCCTGGACCAGTGTGACCCTTCGCCAGCCCACACAGCCTTTCCACACCCAGAAGGCTGGAAAGCCAGGAGGGCACAGTGCCCATTCAGCACTCTGTCCACAGGCTCACCTGTCTCTCCTCCCATCTCCCAGCCTCTATTCCCACACACTTCTCAGGCCCCGGTGGGACCATGGCTCCTTCCCCAGAACCCTTCAGACACCAGCCCCGCTTAACCTGGAGGTGGAAGAGGGCTGTGTCATTAGCACCCTGCTCCTGCCAGTGGGGAACACGTCTGAAAAAGCTCCCGGAGAGCTGTTTCAGGGACGTAAATGGCAGGTGCTTACAGCATGCACCTGGCCAGCACCAGCACTGACTGGAGGAAGCACTAGTGACCCTCACTGGTTGGTGAGGGGCTGGGCTTGCCCAGCCACGGAGGCAGTGTCTCCGGGTAGCCGGGAAGCAGCTTGCACACCCAGCCCAGTGCCATCTCCCCCACAGGCGCCCACGTGAGAAGTGGGGCTCCTGGGGTCTGCAGCGTGGAGGTGGGGGCTTCCCCAGAACAGCTGGTTTCCAGGAAGGGGACCGTGCTGTCCTTCCGCTGCCGCCTCCTCTCTCCCTGCCTGCTCCCCACAGATTTGGAATGACTACAAACTGAAGTGGGACCCCTCTGAGTATGATGGGGCGGAGTTCATGCGTGTCCCTGCACAGAAGATCTGGAAGCCGGACATTGTGCTGTATAACAAGTAAGGGACTGCCTGGCCTTCCTGGGACCTTTCCCAAGAGGGCTTCATTGAGATGTTAATGCCACAGGTGTTTACTGAGCACCTGCTATGGGCCAGATGCCCGAGAGAGCCACCCTGACTCCAGGACTTTACCACACACCAGGGGACAGGCATGAACTGTGATATCCAAATGTGCAGTAACAGACCGGATAGGGGGGTGGGGGGAGGAAGGGCGGTCTGCTGCCAGGGCCCTCACTGGCACTTGCCCTTCCCTGTAGGTCAGGACCACGGACCACTTGGTTCCTCTGCCCTCGGTGACTGAGCCCGCAGTTTCAGGAAGCCTCTCCGCTGTATCTCACAGCGTCTTCCTCTGCCAGGCTCAGCTGCCCATCATGGCACCTCCTAAACTGGCCTCTTTCCACATTTAAGCGTTGTTATTCAGCAAACATAAAATTTAATGGATGTTTTACAGTATGTACTAGTTTGTTCTCTGGGTATTGAAAAACATCATTTTTATACCTGTGCTTTATCTCTAAGGTTACGTTTTTACCATTAAGCATTTATCAGCAGAGCACTCCCTATAGAACTAATCTGATTTTAACGATTGAAAGCATTTCCGTGTTTAGGTTTTTATGCCATATTAGTACAAACTCATATGCTTTAACTATTAGGACTGCAGAAGCTATGTTTTTGGCTGAGTCCCACTTTCTGGTCACTGACTAAAAGAAGGGTCTTTAGCCACTCCACAGATGGGCCGTGTTTTATTTATTGGCTTTCCAAGGAAATACATCATTCATAAATGTTTCTTTCAGACAACTTGTATTTGTAAATTTAGTCCTCACAGAACTGGGACAAGGTAAACTCAAGTGGTTTGCAAAACATGAGCAGTCTTACCAGTCTTCTGATCCACAGGCTCTTAGGGAACTGGGCAGAATGTTGAGAATTTTAGCTAAGCTAGAATTAAGAAAATGTGCAAAAATTTTAATGTCATGATTTGAATTTTTTTTTCAACGTTTATTTATTTTTGAGACAGAGAGAGACAGAACATGAACAGGGGAGGGGCAGAGAGAGAGGGAGACACAGAATCGGAAGCAGGCTCCAGGCTCTGAGCCATCAGCCCAGAGCCCGACGCGGGGCTCGAACTCACGGACCGCGAGATCGTGACCTGAGCTGAAGTCGGATGCCTAACCGACTGAGCCACCCAGGCGCCCCGTGTCATGATTTGAATTTTCTAGCCGGCAATCTTGAGTGAACAGCTGGAGGACTTTAGGCTGTGAGTTTAACGGTGCTGCGTCACAGTGAAATGATTCAAATTGAGTGTGGTGAGGAGCAAATATCATAAGGAATTTCCTTTGAGTCTGAAACTGAAGATAGGTTGTAAAGAAAGTCACCCAACCCCTCCAAGTTAGAAGTCGTTTCTCGGGACTGATCCTCCGTTGAGAGTCTCTTCATGTGGACAGGAGAAACACCTTTTACGTCCTCGTGCCAAAGCTTCCCCTATGGTTTGTTTTCTCAAGTTCATTCTCTACCAGGATCCTCAGAAAGTGCTTATGGGCACAAGATGCCTTATGTTCTTACATGTTTATAATTCACTGCAGCCTTTTTAGAGAATATGTTCAGGTTACTTAGCTGGATAGAGAAACTCCTTGGCTGAAATCTTCCTTCGTGAAAATCTTCTAAAAATGCCGACTGCTCCAGCATGAAGTGTCGCTGTCAAAATCTGATGCCAGTCAAATTGGGTGGCATTGGAAGACAAGGGGGACTCTGCCGATCAGCCTGTGGGGACCACAAAGTGAACCAGCTCTGTCCTGGGCGAACCGGGAGGCACAGTCCTGGCAGGGGGTGTTCTTTCAGCTCAGGCACCCAAAGGCTTCTTCCTTCATCTGGAGAGTCAGCTGTTTGACTCTGTGCCACAGATGTGACACGTCTTTACTCCAGGAAAGCTGGTTTCAAGTTCTGGGTCTTAGGATTTGTTCTTTTGCTTTGGCTTCTCTCTCCAGGAACTCCATCTTCGTGTACGTCAGAACTTCACCTACATTCTCTGTTCTTCTTGCTCAAGTTCTTGTTTCTGTTTGATGTGAAACTTGCCCTCTCTCTCTCTCTGGTTTCATTCCTGTGACTGTGCTTTCTCTGGCACCTTGTTTCTTTTAGCCGTTGCTTCTAAGATGGTTTTTGACTCTTTCCTAAGGTGTCGGCTCTTGATACACCTGCTGTTGTCTGGCCAGGTTATTTAACATTTTCTGATTATGCTGCTCCTTCATGGCTTCCAGAGATCACTTAGCACTTCTTAATCTGTAATCCCAGGTAGGTTGTCACTGTCACCTGTTCTGGGCCTGTCCTGTTGGGGTATGGCTTCTCTGCTTGTGATTCAGATATTCATCTTCACCCATTTCTTACGATACAATCTAATCCTTTTCCACTGCTCTTGTTGAAATAGGTGGCCTTTGCTAAACGTTTAGGACAGGCTCCCAGAGGGAACAGGGTGGGTGGGGGTCTCTTTTCATCAGCTTGAGGGCCCCTGGGAAGGCAGGCTTCTGGGCCTGAGCCCAGCCGCTGCTGGATGCCTGCTTCTCCAGCTTGTAACCCATATTTCTCTTCTCAGCCTGTTTCTGACCTGGTTGAACTTGGGTCCTACCCTAAGCAGCGTTTTTCTGGGCGGGTCTCAGTCCTTCCAGAAGGGAGTCTGGGCGGGGCGGGGGGGGAACCCTCGAGCCCACACCAGCCCCCGAAGGCCTTCCCTGCAGACCGCCAGTGGGCCCCACCACCTTTTTGGTTCCCTCCCCGAAACTGGAAGCTGTAAGGCCTGTGTTTCACTGTTCCCCTTGCTGAGGAGTCAACGCAGACTGAGGTCCTCTTTTCTGAGGGACAGATGCTTCTTGGTGGCTTCTGTGCCTGGGGCTCTTTCCCTGGCGGCCACCACCTCCAGCTGATCCTGCATGGTCCAGGCAGGCTGCCCTGGGGTTGCTCACTGGACCCCACCCGCTCGTGGGAGGCTGCATGTAACCTGACTGTGATGACATGGTCACAGGCTTTTCTTTGCTGGGAACTTGGAGAATGTTCACATCAGTCACCACCCTTGCCTCCCCCGAAGCTCAGTCTCCCTTAGAATAAGCCCTCAGCCGGTTGTGTGCACCCTCCTGGGCATCTCTTTTTTGACAGCCTCGCACATGGGCTCCTGGACCCCTCCCACCCCCGCTGGCTCTTACTGCCGACCATCCCCTGGACACCCCAAGGGCAAGACCATGGGTTTTCTGGTCATTCTTTTTAGTCCACGAGACCCACCAGGTGCCCTGTCTGTGGCTGAGGCTGTGCCGCACCCCAGGGCCCAGCGGGGTCTTGGCCTTGCCCGTCTACCAGTGGCAGAGAGCAGAGGCCCTGCGCTCTGACCTTTTGATCCCTGGTCAGTAAAGCGAGGGGCTGGACTAAGGCAGGTGCCGGCGTGGGGCTCCTGTGAAGGACTGGGTCAGTGTTTTACATCTGTGGGCCGGCCTCTGCCTCTGAAAGCAGCCTCCCTGTAAATGTCGTCACAGAAGGGGCAGGCCTGCGGGCCGCACTAAGAGGTCCCCTTCTGTCCTGACGTTTTGTTGACCCAGGACACTGTCTTCCAAGGCAGTGAGGGCTGTGTGGGCCCTCCCCACACCCCTCCCCTTACCATGTGAGGACAGAGGGCACAGCAGGACTGTTGTGAGGACCGAACACGAACAAAGCCAGCAGGGCCCCTCTGGACAAACCGGCCGACCAGACGAGGGAGGCGGCAGCCTGGGGTCTTAACTGGTAGCAACTGCCCTGCTCCACGGAGGCACAGGAAGGGGAGGGCCAGACAGCAGATGGAGGACATGGGCAGGACACGTCCCCTCCTGTCTCCACGTGTTACTAAATCACGGCAGGAACACACAGAGATCCCTGCATGTTTGGGTCTGTCACGTGCATCAGCTCTTCAGGCAGATGGGTGGTGGCTCCTTCTAAAGGGTCTGAACTCTATGCCGCCAGCAGAGCTGACCCAGGGACATGTGTGGAGCCTGCCCCGGGCAAGGCCACCGCTTGAGGGCCGGCTGCTCTCTCAGATGCAGGACTTGGAACATCGGTCTCTGCATAAAAGGAGAGTGCGGGTATTGCAGGGAGACGAGACATGGGGAGAAACCAGGGAAAGATCAGGAAACTGAAGGCACGGGAGCCCGTTGTGCTGGATTTGAAAGACAAGGCATCAGAAAACATGATTACCAACCCAAGGCCGGGGAGGGGGTGTGGGGTGTGGCACAGGGTCACAGTGCAGGTCTGGTGGGAGCCCATCTGCCAGGGCTCAGTATGGTGGGAGTGGGCTCCCCACAGCTGGGCCTCACACACGTGTGTGCACGTACACAGGAGGTACCCACGTGGAGACTGAACGAGGCTTTAACGGGATCCAAACCGCAGCAGCAGGAGGGCCAGATATCCCCAAAGGTTTCCTGCCTCGAGGACAACATTCGTCTCATTTCTTTAAAGGGGGAAAAATCCCTTTCTGGCATTTGAGACGGTCTGTCGATATCAAGGCCAAGTTATATTGAAAACAAACCAGTGACATGCCAGGGGTGGGGGAAGCATGTCAGATTGTTGTAGGAATGGAGCCTCGGGCCTCAGTGTCCCCGTCGGTCAGTGGGGAGGTGAACCGGGTGACCGTGCATGGCACATGGGGCTCTCCCGTTCTGTGGTTTTATAAGCCACCGCTTGCTGCCTACTGCGGGTGGTGTGAGAAGCTGGCCCGGGCGACCGCGTGGTAACGACTGTGTGTCATTTGCCACCTGTCTCTGCAGTGCTGTTGGGGACTTCCAGGTGGACGACAAGACCAAAGCTTTACTCAAGTACACAGGGGAGGTGACTTGGATGCCCCCCGCCATCTTTAAGAGCTCGTGCAAAATCGACGTGACCTACTTTCCATTTGATTACCAGAACTGCACCATGAAGTTCGGCTCCTGGTCCTACGACAAGGCAAAAATCGACCTGGTCTTGATCGGCTCTTCCATGAACCTCAAGGAGTACTGGGAGAGCGGCGAGTGGGCAGTCATCAAAGCCCCGGGCTACAAGCACGACATCAAGTACAACTGCTGTGAGGAGATCTACCCCGACATCACGTACTCGCTCTACATCCGACGCCTGCCCCTCTTCTACACCATCAACCTCATCATCCCCTGCCTGCTCATCTCCTTCCTGACCGTGCTGGTCTTCTACCTGCCTTCCGACTGCGGCGAGAAGGTGACCCTCTGCATCTCGGTCCTCCTCTCGCTGACCGTGTTTCTCCTGGTCATCACCGAGACAATCCCTTCCACCTCGCTGGTGATTCCCCTCATTGGCGAGTACCTCCTGTTCACCATGATTTTCGTGACCCTGTCCATCGTCATCACCGTCTTCGTGCTCAACGTGCACTACAGAACCCCGACCACGCACACCATGCCCGCATGGGTGAAGACCGTTTTTCTGCACGTGCTTCCCAGGGTCATGTTCATGACCAGGCCCGCGAGCAGTGAAGGCCACACCCAGAAGCCAAGGCCCTCCTACAGTGCTGAGCTCTCAAATCTGAACTGCTTCAGCCGCACGGAGTCCAGAAGCTGCAAGGAAGGCTGTCCCTGCCAGGACGGGATGTGTGGCCACTGCCACCACCGCAGAATAAAAATCTCAAACTTCAGTGCCAACCTCCCGAGAAGCTCCAGTTCTGAGTCTGTCAACGCTGTGCTGTCCCTATCTGCTCTGTCACCGGAAATCAAAGACGCCATCCAGAGTGTCAAGTATATTGCCGAAAATATGAAAGCACAAAATGAAGCCAAAGAGGTAAGGATGTGTTATTACATCAGTCGTTTGTTCATTCGACAAACATCTGAGGTGGGTCAGGAGTCAGCAGCCTGTGCTTGGACCGGCCCCTCCATTTACCAGGTAGGGGTCCCTGGACGTGTGCCTCGCTTACCGGAGCCAGTCCCCTCGTGCGCACAGTGGAACGACAGAGTCCGTCAGTGTGCCCTGGCGTTGGCCCCTGAGCTGCCAGCCGGTCTGGGCCATCAGGACAGTGCCAACACACTTGGTCAGGAGATGAGCTGGAAAAGGGCACGAGACCAGCCGGTTTGACAGCTTTTACTTTCCGATTGTGTTTTTTCCCTTACTGAGGTATAAAGTGTATGCCTGTTAAGTGTACACGTCTTCACATTAGGTGTTCTCCCATGTAACCCTGGGTGCAGGAAGCACATGGGATGTGTCCCGTGCTCCTTCCCAGGCAGCAGCCCCTCCCCCTTGCTAACCACTGATCTGACTTCCTCGATTGGTTAGTTTTACCTCTTCTTGAACCTCACGTAGATGGAACTCCATAGTACAGACCCTTTCACATCTGACCTCTTTCATTCAACAAAATGCCTTGAGGCTTATCATCTTCGTGGTTTTTTAGGGTGGATAGTATTCTACGCTAGGGCTGCGCCACCTTCTGTTTGTTTATTCTACAGTTGTTGGACATGGGCTGTTTCTAGTTTGGGGCTATTGTGAGGAAAGCTTCCATAAATATTCTTACATGTCTTTTGGTGAACACGTATACTCATTTCCCCTGAATGTACACCTGGGGGTGGGATTGCTGGATCACTGGAGAGATGTATTTTTAACTTCAGTGGCTACTGTAAGGTTTCCGAAGTGTCTGATGCGTTGATACCCCACCCTGGGCAACGTTTGAGAGTCCACTTGCCGCACATCCTCACCCACATGTGTGAAGTGGTACCTCATCGCTGTTTAATTAGCTTTTCCCTGTTGAGTAACGATTAGGAATCTTCTTCCTATGCTTACTGGCCATTTGTACATCTTCTTTTGTGAATTATCTAGTCAAACTCTTTTGCTCATTTATTTTAATTGGGTGAACTTAGATTTCCTCCAAAGATCTCATGCTAGAATTAATGTCAAGTATTAGGAATAGGGAAGTTTTACACTTAATAATATCAAATGTCTGGCTGCTCCCTGACCCTGTTTACCCCCAAGTTTATCAGAATCAGATCTGATAATTTTATGAGAAGTTTTGCTTTAAAATTAATTGGCTCTGCCTTAAGCTGCTTATTAGCAAAGAGCTAATTAACTGATCATTTCAGCTCCTCACACACTGTAGGTGATTACCGTTGACAGGGAATGACTGGGGCCTCTTTTATTATACCCTGAATGGCACATGAAAGTGAAGGAAACAGGAGGGAGAGAGCAACAGCTGTCTGTCCATGCACCCAACCCACCGGCACAGTTGTGAGCCCACCATGTGACTCTACAAAGGCAGAGCCTCCTGCTGAGCCTGTAATTTAGCCAACAAGTCAGGCACACCTTTAACTTCAGCTGAAGCAACCGTTGGAGCATAAGTAAATGATCCGTGAACATCTCTCGTTTGTGTAACACTGACAACTCTACCCCTTTCTTTATCCATCTTGAAAAGAATCATTTCAGGTAGCAAAAATTTAATAAAGATTGAGATCTAAATACTGAAGACTCCATCAAGTTATTAGAAATTAACTCTATTTCAAAAATTACTTACTAGGCACCTGACAAAGTGTTAGTTTCACGAGGGTCTAAGACCTATTGTACAAAAGGACATTTTAAAGATTGTTACTAAAAGGGAAGTCACAACCAAAGTGACAAGAAGATACATTAGTGGCAAACTGTGGCAAGTGGTTCATCTCAAGTGGCAACCACTGCTCATCTCTGGTCATCTGTCACCACAGGGGACTTGGGCCCAGTCATAGCTCTCCCATTTTTCCAGAAATAGAAATTGGCCCACAGGCCAGCAGAGCACAACCTGTCCGTGCTGAGAAGACTCGAGCTGTCGGAAGAAGGTCTTCTTTGCCTGTGTTGTGTGACTGCCACGCCACCAACACGGTTTTCCAGAGAGGCTTTACCTTCCTAGGTCTACAGCTCAGCATGGCTGGTTCGCACTGTGCGTGGCCCCCAGGGACCTCACTTAAGGGCTGCTTTCCCAGGCCGCCTCCTGAGGGTGTGGGGAGCCTGTGTGTGACTACCATGGCCCTCCCGGCAGGGGAACACCATGGTGGCTGCCTGCCTTGGCTGTTCCCTTCTCCAGCTGTTCGTGTGGGTCACTGCTTGCTCACGTTTGGCCGTATTAGTAAGAAGTTTAATTACTGTTAATACGCAAACTTGGGGTCGCACGGAAGCGCTCTTTGTTGGCGGTATGTCTTTCACCCTGGGGTCGGCTCCACCATGCGAGCAGTTCTCTCAGTCTTGGAGGTGTGCCCAGGCCAGAGCCACGGTCTTCTGAGCTGACATTCTGAGATAGCTGGCTTCCTGTTGGGCTGAGACACACATGCATAGACACACACAGATACGTCTCTGCGTGTATAGATCTGTATATAGGTGTGCACGTGTATCTCTACGCGCATATTTTCATTCCTTCCAGAGTCTGACTTTTGATCAGCGATTTGGGAGTTTCCATTTGTTGTAACTACTGTTTGATCAAGGCTAAATTTCTGTCATCTTATTGCATGTTTCCCGACTTATTTTTCTTCTTTGCCTCACTTCGTGCTGAGCACTGGGAAGTCTGAATTGTTTCTGCTGGCTGGAAAGCCATGTGTTCCGTTTCTGTTCTGGAAGCTGTGCCTCAGTGACTTAGACCCACATGCGAGCTCTTCCAGATCCGTCTCCTCACTCCTTTGCATCTTGCCCCTGACCCCACTGTCCTCCCCTCTGGTCTTCCTTACTGCCCGGCCACACTGGATATGACCAGAGCTTCAGTTGTGGATTTGGGGGAATACAGCTTTAGGTTTTGCCAACCCTTTCTCTAGTCTATATCATTTTTTTTTTTTTTTACGTCATCTTCACTAAACCACTGACTTACCCCCCTGCCCTCCTGGCTTTCTCTCCACACTGACCCACCTTGATCCCAAGTGTTCATGGTTAAACCTTCTGAGGCCTGTAGGCTTAAAAGTGTAAAAACTCATTTTTAAGACAGTTTAGCTGGATACAAAATTCTAGAAGTTCTTTTTCTTAAATACTTAAAAAAAACCCTCCTCCGTTGCCTTTTTGCTTCAGTATCACTAATGAAGTTTTAAGTTAATCTGAATGCTGTTTCTTTGCAATGAATCGATTCTATCTAGAAGCTACTGGAATTTGTAGAGAAATCCAGTGACCTCAAACACAGTGTGTTGGTGTGAATCTCTCCTAAACTGTTCGGCATCCTTAGGAGCCATTTTATCCTGAGGTTTTTCATCTTTGGTTCAGAGGGAATCGAGGTTTCCTCCGTGAAGATTTCCCATCCCCATGTCTCTCCCTGAACTGCACACGTCTGCTTCCAGCCCCCCACCTCTTCCTTCCTGCCACCCTCACCCCTCCTCATGGGTTCCTTTCTGCCAGCTGTCCCCATCCTGAGTCTTTTCCTCCGCTTTTCTGTCGCATTTTTACTTGGTTCTTCTGTGACATTGCTTCATGTTCCCTATGCTCTCTCTGATCTCTGGGGATATCCTCTGTAGTTTAAACCCTTAACCTGTCTGTTCTGTGAATTTCCTTCCAGATAGTTATGTTTGTGTTCTGAGGCCTGTAAACTCACTTTTTCAGGGGCATCAGCCTTGCTGGATGGTATTTGGGGAGGCTCCACAAGGCAGGAGGCCCATGTAGCCAGACTAGACTAGGCCTCCCTTCAAAGGTGCTTCCTTCCCTCCAGGTGACCTTGTCCCTCAAGGGATGTCTCTCAACCTCCCAGCTTTTCACCTCAGCCAGGCTGTCCTCTCTCACACGTTACCTGCGTCTCTGGGCTGGGACCAGGCAGGGAGCAAAGAGGCAGAGCCGTAGGGGTGAGAACAGCACAGCCCAAATCTCCCCCACCCCCGCCCTGTCCCTGAGGCCCTCCTCTGGCCCCCCTAGTGGAACCTGGCCGGTGCCACAGCCTCTAACATATGGGCTCCCCTTGCTTCTGGGACATCTCTAGGGCCAGGCGAGGAGAAGGAGCCAAGAGCTTGCACTAGTTCACCGTATTGCCTGACGCTTCTCTGTTATCATTAGTCCCAAAGTTTCCGGGCCCATATGATGCCTTCAGGACTTTCAGAGTTAGACACAAATTGTCACCCAGCTGTGTTTGTGCAGTACATTTGTGCTCACGTGGAAAACTCGAGTCCCGTCTGTGTTCACCAGGCAAAGCCGTGCAAATTGCTGTCAGAGGAAGATCTGTGGTTGGATGAGGGTCATCTTTTTTTTTTTAATCAGTGTGACTATCGATAGGTACTATTCATTAAGGACTCTGTGCCAGAACATTATTTCACTTAATCCTCATCATAACCCTCTGAGGGGAGTACTGTTCTTATCTGCATTTCACAGATGGGGAAATTGAGGCAAAGAGAGGTCACATAACTTACCCAGGTTCTCAGACGCTGCGATGAAAATCAAAGTCTACCTGCTACAGCCTTAGGAGGGTTAGCTGGTAGGGGTGGGTGGGAACCACAGGTTCATTGTGTGTTTGAGGCACTTAGAAACCAGTCCTAGGAATCCACACAAAGTACTAGCGTTATAATTCTAATTTTAGCCAAATTCCTTAGTATCTTCAGGAGGACACATCTCCAGTTCATGGCAGTAAAAGAAAATCCTTGTCTCCCAGTCCCATTTCAGTGTACTTAATTAAATCACTAAATCACATGCTGCCTCTTTTTTATGTGATTATTTCTTCAAAATCAGTTGATTCATTGGTTCTCTCTTCCTCAATTCAATTACAGTTTCCTTGTCTTCCCAGTTGTCTAGGAGTGTAATTAACATACAATTCTCCTTCCTATTTCAAGCCTGAATTAGGGCTGTGTTATAGACAATTAGTCTTGCTCTTTCTACTGTCTTTTACTTTATTGTCAGCAATTATTTCTGATTTTCAGCCTGTCCTCTCACTGTTCAGAGTTCCACAATACTTTGGCCTTAGTGTTGAAGAAGATATTTGGTTAGCTGGGCAGGGCCAGGGGGCCGAGGGAGAGAGATGATGGCCTTGCCCTGCTTTACTTATTTCCTTTTGGAACAGATGTTAAATGGAAATTAGTATCTAACACTGGATAAGAACCAGCACTTTGAAGCAATAGTAAACGATGGTTGGATTGTATTAGTTACTCTAACAAAGTCCAGGAGTCCACAAGTCAAGTAACTGGTTTTCCTAACTTTATAAATTAGAATTCAGTTTAGAAAAAAATAGGTTATGTATACATGAAGACATTTCTGGTTGTTTCATTTTTTGTTTATTTTTAAAAGTAAGCTGTATGCCCAACTCAGGGCTTGAACTCACAGCCCTGAGATCAAGAGCTGTTACACCCTACCGCCTGAGCCAGCCAGGCGCCCCAAGAAATTTCTGATTCAAAACAGACCGAATGTGAATATTTTATACCTGCCTCTTGTAATGCATAAAGGGGGACTTGAGAACAGTGTTTCCTCAGACTCCATTAGGAAACAGGGCTTCTTGCAGAATGGCTTCTGCTGCCGCGACATATTTATTCGGTATTCAGTTCTGAAAATGTGTCCACTCTGCCCTTCCCTTCCTGCTTTATGTTTTCCTCTTTCACAATTTTTGTTTTTGTTTTTGTTTTCCAGATTCAAGATGATTGGAAGTATGTCGCCATGGTTATTGATCGAATTTTTCTGTGGGTTTTCATCCTGGTGTGCATTCTAGGGACGGCAGGATTGTTTCTGCAACCTTTGATGGCAAGGGATGACGCTTAAGCACCAAACTGTGTTTGCCAGAGGCTTCCTGGCATGCAGAGGGGGACTCGTTTGTTTTTATTGTGTAAAATACACTTGGCCATAAAATGTACCATCTTCACCGTGTTCAGGCCCACAGCTCGGTGGTGTTAAATAGTCATCGTTGTGCAGCCGCCACCACCATCTCCAGGACTCTTCGTCTTGTAAGACCGCATCTCCGCACCCACTGAACACTAACTCCCTGTCCCCTCTCCCCCTAAAACCCACATTATACTGTTTTGACTACTTTAAGTACCTCATATAAGCAGAAGTGCACACTATTTGTCTTTCTGTGATCGGCCAGTTTCATTCAGCATCATGTCCTCGGGGCTCACCCATGTTGGAGCAGGCGTCAGAATCTCCTTTCTTTTTAAGGCTCAGCCGTGTTCCATTGCACGTCTATTCATGTTGCTTATCCGCTCATCTGGCAGGGGACACTGGGGCGGCCCCCACGTTTTGGCTGTTACAGATATGTGTGCGTCCATGTTCACAGCAACATTATCTGTTTGAGACCCTGCTCTCGATTCATTAGGATCTATGCCCAGAGGCGGAATTGTTGGGTCCTGTAGTAATTCTATTTTCAACTTTCTGAGGAACAACCGTACTGTTTTCCAGGATGGCTGCACCAGTTTGCATTCTCACAGGGGCTCCAATTCTTGGCATCCTCATCAACATTTGTATTCTGTTTTTTTTTTATAATAGTCATCCTAACGGGTGTGAGGTGGTATCTCATTGTGGTTTTGACGTGCATTTATGTAACGATTAGTGATGCGAAGCATCTTCTCCTGTGCTTATTGGCCGTTTGTGTGTCTCTTTGGAGAGGTGTCTGTTCAGGTCCTTTTCCACTTTTTTTTTTTTTTTTTTAAGTTTATTTTAAAGAGCACAAGCAGGTGAGGGGCAGAGAGGGAGGAGACAGGATTTGAAGCCAGCTCTGCGCTGACAGCAGAGAGCTCAATGCGGGGCTCAAACTCACAAGCCAAGCTATTGAGATCACGACCTGAGCTGAAGTCAGACGCTCAACTGACTGAACCACCCAGGCGCCCTTTCTTTTCCACTTCTCAATTGGGTTGATTGTGGTTTTTAGTTAAGTTTTAGGAGTTCTCTATATGTTCCAGATATTAATCTCCTATCAGAAACAAGATTTGCAAATATTTTCTCCCACTCTCTGGGGTGCCTTTTCACTCTGTTGATAGTGTCTTCTGATGCACAAAATTTTTAACTTTTCATTAAGTCCAGTTTATCAACTTTTTGTTAGCTGTGTTCCTCTGTGTCATATCCGAGAAATCACTACCAAATCCAGTCTTGTAAAGAATCTGTCCTGTTTTCTTCCAGGAGTTTTACTGCTTAACTCTTACATTTAGGCTCTTTCTCACACTTTCTATCATCAAGCTACTGGCACTGTTTTTAGCATTTCAAGGTTTACTTATTTATCCAGTTGTCTTGGTTTTTATCAAAAGAGATTCGTGCAAGAAAAGTCAAGGGTATTTATTATAGATAACTGAACATTTAACCAGCCTTTTTGGTAAGGTAGAGAAACATCAAAATATAGTTCTGCAGTGTGAAGTAATATACTCTACTAAAGAATATGTAAATATGGGCTAAATATGAAAACGGTTTCCCCTTTGTGCTGGTTGAGGCATAATTGGACAGGAAAACTTGCTGCTCACAAATGTGGAAATCCATCTGGTTCAGTATCACAACAGATTTCCCAAGGGTTTTCTTACTTGGCCTGTGATCTCCTTGAAGTTTTGTACCATTTCAGCAAGGCCCTACCTACTACCATTTCCTCCCATGTTCACTCCTTGTCCCACTCCTTGTTCATCGTTGGTTTCCAAGAGTCTGAGGGCCGTGCCTCCTTCACAGAACGCCTCAGCCTTTATCTCGCATCATCCTAAAGAACTATGCTATGAAAAGGTATGCCCAGTCACACATCCATTGCTAGTAAACCGTTGGAGCAGCATTTCTCAACCTTGGCACTATTGGCATTTGTGGCCAGATAACTCTGTGCTGGAGAGACATTGTAGGATTTTTAGCCTCCATCTGGCCTCTACACTAGATGCCAAGAACATACCCCCGGGTCCCTTGCCAGTTATAACAACCAAAAATGTCTACAAAAATTAAGTGGTCCCTCAAGCACAAAACTGTGCCCGATTGAGAACCACTGCTGTAGACAGATTATTAAGAAGACAGTATTCCAGTATGGAGTACTGCAGTCCTGAATCTGAATAGGTAGGAGATGAGGGTTTGCAGAGACCATTTTAATCTTCTCACTAGTCATTTTGATGTTTTGGCTTTATGAAAATAAAACTGACAAAATCGCAGCCAACTGTGACTCATGTTTTGGTAAGTCAAAGGAAGATTTCTACAAAATTTACTCACCTATAGAAATTTTACGTAACAGTAACAGAGGTAGAAGAAGAATCAGGGATATATACGTGCTAAGAGATCTAACAGGCATTTAAACTCATCAGACCAGACTTTCACTCATTAAATGACATTAAACATGTACCTACAATAAAATACAAATGAGACAGGATCCCCTCTGCCTTCCAAAGAGTGTCGACCTGACCTTAGATGGGTTACTTACTATAAATAAGGCATTTGTTCTCTCAAGGGCTAAGAGTTCCAGATAAAATGCAGAGCTTCAACAGTGTTTTATTCCTGATCGTAGCTGAATCAGGGCATTCAGAGATGGAATCTCACTTGTTTACCTGTGACGCGTGCCACTACGGTCCTGAATGAGCAGTAATCGGTGAGACTGCACCACACCTAGAGGCCCTGCAACTCTATGGCTCCAGTACTGTGACTGCTGGAAAGAAGGAGATGAAACTATACGTGACAGCCATGTGACAATGAGCTTCCACCTAATTAGAAACCATCTTTAATCTTGGAAGATGGTTTTTCACAGTATGATTTGGTGGCATCCATGGACGTGTTTTTAAAATGGGATTCACTTAATTGTAGAGGACGCCTTCTAAGATGAAGGGTACAGAAATGCTACGGTTTATATAGAAGATGGTTAATTGTGGAAAATGTGGATAAGGGGGTTGAAATTAATGTTAAGAAGATACTAGTGCATGTCCACAAGTTACCTATTGTGTGATTTTACAATTGAAGGTAAGCTACGAAAACAGTTAATACAATAATTGTTCAGTTTAAGCATCTAAGAAATAAAGTAAGCTTTAAAGGAATTCCCATTTTTCATTTTTTACGATGTTGGTTATAGAAAAGCAGCATCACATTAAATTGTTATCATACCAAGGAGTTAGCTTATTTAACATAGCAGTATAATATTATGCTAGAGATTAGCTGTTACTCCGTGGATACAGGACAGAAAGAAAGAAATTTAAAATGTGTACCTTTACCAAATGCAGAAAAAGTCCTGAAATCAGTCTTCAAATACAACAGGAACTTTCCAATACAATCAAAAGATGAGCTTCACGTTGATTACGAATTGGTACTGTTTGCCAGGACACCAACATTAGGTTTTCACTAGTACAGTTCAGATAACATTTTGCTGCTATTTTTAGCTTAAATGCTGAGTCAGCTATCACTTCAGTCATGCAGGTAAAATGTTCTCAGGGCAGTCTATTAAGATAAACCAAAGTTAGCAACTGTTAATCTCACAAAGCTTGCTTCAAATTTTAAACACAATTTACATTTTCTAATTTTAAGGGTGCCAGAGGCATAGGTGCCTTTGGTAACTAAATTCCTACGATGACACCACTACGGAAGGATCACTTATTTGCATCTCCAATATGAACCGGTACTATTATATTTGCCCACTTATAAATAACAGGAACGAAAAGCCCAAGAGATCCAACAATTGAAACCAGAAGAAAAGTCCATAGAAACATCCGATCAAGCACCTGTGCTATGAATTTCCAATCTTCAACCACCTGTTGCAATAAAAAAAAAAAAAAATTTTAAATACATAATTTAAAATTGTGTAATTACTTTAAGATATTACACACTGAGTCAGAGGCCAGATCACTTTCTGCCTCCCGCTACTGCCTCACAACATAAGTGACCTTGTACTCAGAGCTCAGGGACAGACACTCCCCTGACAATCTAGAACATAGAGCCTCCACAAGCTTTCAGAGACGCTACACAATCTATTAATGTACGTCTTGACTTGTAATATATTACAAGTGACATTTTTTATAGACTTTTAATAAAATTAGAATATTTATACTACTTGGATATTTTATAATAAACTAAAAAAATCACTTTTATTCATATTACATACAGTTATTTCTGTCATTTTTTTCTTGTCCAGCAGTGCTTACTTATTTTAATTTCTAAAGAGAATCCAGCCTGGGATTAATCTCAAGCCAAATTAACAACTGGTTCAGAATGATTACAGGGCGCCTGGGTGGCTCAGTCGGTTAAGTGTCCGACTCTTGATTTCGGCTCATGATCTCACAGTTCATGAAATCTGACAGTGGAAAGCCTGCTTGGGATTCTCTCTCTCTCTCCCCCCCAAAATAACTAAACTTTAAAAAAAAAAAAAAAGGATAATATGCATTAGCTATTAATCTTCTCACCCCACAATGTGCATTATTTAGTTTTGGATTCCCCAGGGGCTATTTTAACCTAAGCTCATGAATTCAGATCTGCTGGTTGGACCTCATTTCAACCCCCGTTTTGCAGCCTAAGCAGGGAGCTAGCTCAGCAGTTCCAAGTGACCTCAAAGAAAGGGCAGGCTGAGACAGGCCCCTGAACACCAGAGGCTCCCCTCCCAGGGCCTTCCCTGGCCCCTGCCTTTACGGTGCACGAGGTCCCCCACAAGAACTCTGCCCCCTCAGCTATGAGAGAATGTGGACTTTAGGTAGCTGTCAACACTCTACTGCTTTTCTAAGTACCCCCCTGAAGACAAATACCATTTACTGGCCCTAGGGGGATGAGCCCTGGCCCTTCTGCACAATACTTTGCAGACATTTATTAATCCAGATATTATATAATCCAGATCATTATTTAACTAATATCTACATTTTAAAGACTCCATCGATAGCTTCAGACCTTATATACTAATCATACTACCATGAAATAGAAATTTTACAAATCCACAAACATTTGAAGTCTTCCAGAAATCTGTTATATGTTCTTTCTGTGAGGAGGACTGTAATTTTACCAGATTCACTTTGCTTCCCAAACCTGCTAGAAATTTTTCCATTTAAAAAAGGTTTGGAAATGAAAATTCATACAATTGTAATGGGGACTATTCAAAGCAAATTCAATTATGAAAATACTACTATAGTCCTAGCTTTAAAAATATCACACAGTAGGGGGCATGTGGGTGGCTCAGTGGGTTAAGCCTCAAACTTCAGCTCAAGTCATGACCTCACAGTTCATGGGTTCAAGCCCCGTGTTGGGCTCTGTGCTGACAGCTCAGAGCCTGCTTCAGATCCTCTGTCCCATTCTCTCTCTGTCCCTCCCTGCTCTCTCTTTCACACTCTCAAAAATAAACATTTTAAAAATTTTTTAATAAAAATATAACACAATAGAAATACAGTGACAAGATTAAAATCTGACATGTTTTGAAAGAAAATTTAACATCACATTAGTAAAATGTATTCATGTTCAATTCTTACATTGTAAATATTGATCTTAAGCCAATGAGAGTTATTTTTCTATAATAAAGTTTTAAGCAAATTTTTGGTTTTAAGCAAATTAAGAATATTACTAAGCACTATTTCTAACTTTCACATGAACACTTTGACATATGATATATAACATCCAAGAATATCTACTGCTTTCAATTTCACTGACATTCTCTTATAAATGAACAAGAAAAAGACATATTCTAGAAAAAATACCTTGGCTGAAATTTATAGAGCCTACATTAGGCTCATTTTTTAAAAAATAAAATACCTTTTGATAAATTATAATGCCCATTGTGCCTACAGATTACAACAGAATTCAGAAACAAAGTTACAGAAGATAGAATTAAAATAATAATGTCAGAGTCAAAAAAACAAATGGCAGTGTTACTACTCTTTAGAATAGAGTAACAACAGTCGGCACAAGGCAAAGTTGCTAAGGGGAATGGAGAGGTGAGATCTGGCAGATGTTTTAACTGAAACAAATTTTGGTAAAGATCTTCCACCGAACAACGTGTCAGCGTTTCTGGCCCTCAACCTACACTGAGTCTCAAGGGCCATGCTGATTACTCCCAAACTCAGAATGGAAGCGGATGAGCACTTGTATACACAACATGTCACAAACCTCACGGACGTCATTCTCCTTCATGACGTGTCTTGTAATGTAGCGGATGGAATCAAGCGCAGCTTCCAATGTGTTTCTAGAAGACTCTGGTCTACCACCGCCCTCAGTTTCCTCTTTCTGAGCGAAGTACCTGTCTACGTGACTCCTCATGCACAGCAGTTTGGGAAGCTTGTGGAGAAATAGCTTGCGGACCCAAGGTGCCATTGCATCGTGTGTTGAGGAAGAACGATGATGGATATTGATAGCGAAGACGGTCACCATGATTGACAGCGTCACAAAAATCATGGTGAACACCAGATACTCTCCAATCAGAGGTATTACTTTGGAAGACGAGGGTATGATCTCTTCAATAACCAGAAGGAAGACAGTCAGAGAGACCAGGACTGACGTGCAGAGACTGAGCTTCTCACCTTCGTTTGAGGGGAGATAGAAGACAAGCACAGTTAAAAACGAGAGCCCGATACAGGGTATAATAAGGAACAAGGTGTAAAAGAGAGGCAGACGCTTAATTACAAATGAGTAGGTGACATAAGGGTACCAGCAGGAGCCATCCGTTCTGTTTCCTTTGCTTCCCGTTGCACTCACAATCTCCCATTCTCCATTGTCAAAAAAATCTCTCTTGTCCACGTCTTGGTCCTCTAAAATTATATCAACCTGTGATCCATCGTAAGTCCAAGAACCAAATTTCATGGAGCAGTTTTGGAGATCGAATGGGAAAAACGTGACATCTATTGTGCAAGAACTTTTGTAGTTTGCCGGTGGAGTCCAGGTGACAGTGCCATCATACCTGATGACTGCTTTCGTGCTGGCCCCTTCAAAACGTCCATCTGCACTGAAATAAACACATGCACGTAACAATGCAGAGACTACACAACGCAGGCCTTCACAAGCCTGAGATGAGAGAAAGTCGACACCATGGCGTGAGATACTTTTTAAACTATTATGCTTGAGATATACCTGCTATGTGTAGGGGACTCTGTTTTAGGGACATCTTATGTAAATATCCGACTTTACTAGAACTGAACTCCTTCCGCATCTACTCCAGGACTGACAGTCGATCTCTATTTCACAGAATCCTGAGATTTTAGAGGCTGAAAGATTTCCCTTTACATACAAAATATAATTAGGCTATTGAAACAATAAAATATTGGCCAGAACCTGAATCCACATTTCTAGGCTCTCCACACAGTGCTCTTCTCCTCCATCACAAATACTGGATAGTTACTACAGGGGCAGGAAGGAACATTAGCTCTAAGCTGTGCCTCTCGAGTTCTGCCACCATGTGAGCTCCTATACTGGAAAAGTCTAGTAGGAACATAAGATTTCTATAAAATACTGTTTTTTATCTTAAAACTCATGTGACTTTTGCACACTACTCTTTTATACACTCATGTTTATGTAAAAATGTTTTTCAGAGACTGGGGCGCCTCAATGGCTCAAGTCAGTTAAGTGTTGGGCTCTTGATTTCAGCTCAGGTCAGGATCTCCCAATGCGCAAGTTCAAGCCCTGCATCGGGCTCTGCACTGACAGTGCAAAGCCTGCTTGGGATTCTCTCTCTCCCTCTCTCTCTCTGCCCCTGCCCCACTCACATGTGTGCGCTCTGTCAAAATAAATAAATAAACTTAAAAAAAAAAATGTTTACTACGACCTAGAGTAAAATGGTGCTCTGGGAAGCTATATCCTGCTACCTTATAGTTTTGTTTCCTCTTTACCTATTGAGAGACATGGAGGAAAAAGGTGTTTAGAGACTAATATTTTTCACACAGCATTTGCTCTGTCTTCATGCCAAATGCCTGCTTGCAAATAATACAAAATGCTTTAGGATAAGCACAAATTCCCAAGATTTACCCTGGGTTTGTCCTAGAAAAAAATGAAACTCACACCCAGAATCATCCTTTCCCCAAGTTAAAAACCATCCTCAAAGTACACCTAGGTAGGGTGCCTATAAAGATGAGTTCACTCAACATTCCTCATCATGGGATAATCTAATATAGTATTTAAGCAAAATTAGAAGGACGCACATTTGAACATAAAGTATGACTTCAACTATTTTTTAAACACCCCCAAAATCTTGAAGGCAATCTGCCAAATATATAGTCTATTAAATAGGAGGATAAATAGGGATGTCGGGCCGCCCTAGTGTGAACCCCACCCTGCCACATGCAAACTGTGCAACCTTGGACAAGGTTATAATGCCCTCACCTGTTGGACAAGGTTAAAATGCCCTCACCTGTTTCCTCATCTGTCAGAAATGCCATTTTAAAGGTACTGCTGGGAATCAAATGAATAAAGCAGAAAGGTACCGCACATGCGGCCAGGCACAGAGTAAGTTCTATGTGTGAGCTCGTGCAAATGGCTGCCTCTAATGCTGGAATGAATAATGGGACTGATTAAAGGTGACACCCCGCCCCCAATTTTACACCTTTCTAGACTTCCCAAATGTTTTACACGTTTTGGAAAGCAAAGAACACTTTTATTTATTTATTTATTTATTTTAATTTTTTTTTTTCAACATTTATTTATTTTTGGGACAGAGAGAGACAGAGCATGAACGGGGGAGGGGCAGAGAGAGAGGGAGACACAGAATCGGAAACAGGCTCCAGGCTCTGAGCCATCAGCCCAGAGCCTGACGCGGGGCTCGAACTCACGGACCAAGAGATCGTGACCTGGCTGAAGTCGGACGCTTAACCGACTGCGCCACCCAGGCGCCCCAAAGAACACTTTTATGATCAGGAAACAAGACACCAAAAACAGGACAGGACCCAAAGAACCTATTTGGAGGTTCACAACAGAACACAGATCAAGTCTTTTGATTTTATACGTAAACAATTTTCAGAAGGAAGAAAAATTACTAGTGGCTAATATACAAGCATTTTCTTTTGAAAACATAAAGTAATATTTAGTAAATAAAAACTTACTTATCAAACAAAACAATGTCTGGGGTCCAGAGAGAGTCTGAAGGGACGCGTATAACTTTTATTCCGCCATAGTCGCCAGGGCGCCAGCTTAACTTTACATCTATCCACTCCTGCAGAGCAAAGACAACAGGCTCAGTTTCGATGAAATTGATAGTCATAAGTCATAAAAACTATACTCTTTATGCCAAGTCCAGAAATCCTAGACATAAAATCATCTCTACTCGCCACAGAGAAAATCCACCTCCAAGTCCTTCTTAAGAGTACAGAAGCATAGCCCTGCCCCTGTGTGGTGACTCCAGCCCCGGTCCTCCTGAGACACAGGTGTGCGCCGTGGGTGTGTTCACAGCTCTGTTCAGCACCTCCTCTCACACCAACTGGCCACACCCAGGAGCCAAAGCCATGGGCATCTAAGGTCCAGGTTTAAGGCCTTAAACCTTTTCCATTGTCTTTTCCAGGTGCATTGTCATTGGCTGGACTGGTGCATGCCAGGGGAATTGGATTTATTACATAGTCCACATTTAAACACCTTGTCCACGCTCCACATAGTGACAATTCTGTGATCACAAGTTAGGACTCGCACACCAAGAAAAGCATACAAGCCTTGTAGGAGTTAGAGTCAGGGAACTGGCAGCAGGTACTAAAATTAGGGATGATAAAGAAAGAGCAAAGGGAAGCACATAACAGCAGCTGAGGACAAAGCTATGATGGCATCGAAGAAAAAGCAGTCTCTTCTAAAAAGGGGCTACGAGGGGCGCCTGGGTGGCGCAGTCGGTTAAGCGTCCGACTTCAGCCAGGTCACGATCTCGCGGTCCGTGAGTTCGAGCCCCGCGTCGGGCTCTGGGCTGATGGCTCAGAGCCTGGAGCCTGTTTCCGATTCTGTGTCTCCCTCTCTCTCTGCCCCTCCCCCGTTCATGCTCTGTCTCTCTCTGTCCCAAAAATAAATAAAAAACGTTGAAAAAAAAAAAATAATTAAAAAAAAAATAAATAAAAAGGGGCTACGAATGTAAAACTAATTCATCGCCCATTCCCATCAGCTCCAAGTAAACACCACAATCCTCACAGAGGCCTAGATGCTCGCTACACCGCTGGCTTGCCACTGCTTCTCTGACCTCATCTACACACCCCTGCTCACCTCTACCCACACCGAATGTGTTCTTCTCCAAGCCTGTCTACTTCCGAGGTACTGTAACAGCTTACCTGTTCCTCTTCCCCAACTCGAATGAAGTTCTTGCCAGCCGGGACTTCTGTCCGTTTTGTTGCCTGTTTCCCCAGTGCCCAGAACAGCGTCTGGCAGACGGCAGCCACTCCAGTATTGCCTGAACCAATACGAGAACCCCACCCACCCTCAACCCTCTGCACCCTGCCAATCCACCAAGACCACATGCTCGTGTTTCTTTGCGCTGCAAACCCTACAGGCACAACAGCACCCGTGACCAGTCAGGTGCCTTCTGAGCTTCATACACACCTGTTTCAACCAGACATTTGTTGTCATTAACTGATTTTTCTCATCCTGTGAAACAAAAATTTAAATAAGGCTGATTATTTCAAGGACAGAAGCAATACTTCTTCAAATACGAATTTTCACAGTTTTACACAAACATGCCTGTCCATATAGTACCTATATCCTGTTCATTGGTGCAGCTCTCTGGAAACGCAGGATCATTTTTCCAGCCTAATTTCACATTATCCCTTTCCAGATGCTCTGCATTTCAGCTGAACTGCCCTGCAGTACACCGCTGGCATTAGATTTAACATTCATACACTCCCACTCTACATCCTGAAATCTAAGATACAATCTAAGAAACAAGCGCGCACATTAGTTTATGTACTTGGCACTAAGAAAGGAAAAGGCTGACAATGAATTTTAAGTTGCCATTAATTATAATACACATCTTGATTTCAGAAGTGCTGAAATGTGGAAGAGTGTGCGCATCAGAATGAGAGATACACTGTTTCTGTGCCTTCCTGCAGGACTGTAACTTGCAGTTATGTTCCTCTGCTGAGGCAGGGATTTGAATCTCTGAGGAGCTGCTATGTAGAAAAAAAATACTGGGGCCACTGTCCGGAGTGGCAGCTTCATAAGCTTTCACAGCCTGCTTTTCTAGAAAACCGGGGTCTTTGATATTTGCTACTTACACCTTTCTGCCATTGTATCTTTGCTAAGACCAGTTTTTCACTGAATTCTCAAGGCCTAATTAAAGAGACAGCTCAGGACGCCTGGGGGGCTCAGTCGGTTAAGCGTCTGACTTCGGCTTAGGTCATGATCTCACGGTTCGTGGGTTCGAGCCCCGTGTCGGGCTCTGTGCTGACAGCTCAGAGCCTGGAGCCTGCTTCAGACTCTGTGTCCCCCCTCTCCTTCTGCCCCTCCCCCACTCATACTCTCTCTCTCTCTCTCTCTCTCTCTCTCTGTCAAAAATAAACATTAAAAAATAAAAATTAAAAAAAAAAGATAGCTCTTCCATTACATTTTACTGAAATATCATGGAGCCAATTGGACCAGTACAAGACCATCATGATGACCAAACACAATTCCACCGTGGGCAGGACAGACCCACAGAAGGATGAGGCAATCCCCATAGCCGGGGACAGAGGACAGAGGTTTAGATGGCTCATTCCAAAACACATGAGTGGCCCAGGAGAAAGAAGGAAGACGGAGGAAGCACATCCCTTGAGATAAAGACATCTGTGACATCCCTACATGGGAACAATTACTAGGAAATACAGCATGGCCATCACTCTTACACTGTGGTTCCAAAGGGCAATTGTCCTTGAGTAAAACACTAGAGCTGAAAAGGACCTATAGATCTCATCTAGTTAAATCATTCATTCTGCAAAAAGAAACTAGCCCAATGAGGCAACTTGCCTAAAATCACTCCACCAATTGGTAGTAGAACTAATGTTAGACTTCAAAGCTCCTGAGTTTAAACTCTGTGCCACCAGCTCTACTGTCTATCCCAAAGGCACACGCCATCCAGAGAAAGTGCTGACCTCTGCATCAGAATATTCCTAGTAGGCAAAAGTTCTAAACAGAGGCATTAACAATTAGGAAAGTTCTGGTATACTTATTACCTGTGATGCTGTAAGTCAATAGGTCATCTTTGAGAAGCTAATGAAAATTATACACCTTTTCCCCAGAAAAATGTGAACACACATAAATTTTGCACTATGGAGTAGGACCCAGTCAATACTTAGTATCCTCAACAGGAACACAGATACAAGAACAATACCTAAGTTCACAACTGGCCCCAGATGTGAGGGTTAGCCACTACCTTAGGGGATACAGCCTAACTTAAGGTGACCTCAGGTATCTCCCAAGCACCTATAATGTGCTCACCACAATGCAGGATGCAAAAAAACAAAACCAAAACAAAACCTAGGACGAAGGACAAACGCAGGACTGCACCCAAGAGGACGAGGCACATTAACACAGAGATATGCCCACACGTAAGTAGAGCAGAAAAGTTTTAGGGGTTTTTTTAAACCCCGAATAGATTTTTTAACCTGACCATAAAACTAGCATCCAACAAGCAGGCCGGCGTGGGGATTTGAGAGACAGAGAGAGTTCGAACATGTAGGAAATAAAGCAGGAATCTGAGCGAACTTTGAGGAGGAGCCCCCAAACATGACCACAAGCCAGACGGGTAAGAGCTTCGCAGTTAAAGGGACATAAAGCTTCTACTTTCCGTGTCCAGGGCCCTCGCCTCCTCTCCCTCTGGCTCTTGTCCTCTTTCTCTCTCATCGTCACTGACCTTAACATGTCCTGGGCTCTTCTCACAGGAAGCAACCCATCCCCGACTTCTGTTCTGGGCTCATCCTTCCTTCACCACCTTCTATGAATGTTCCTCAGGGATCAACTTGCCTGCATTCCCTGCTCACTTTAAAACTCCTCAGTCCAATGTTTTCGATGCTCAGCTGGGCCAGGGTCTCCACACTGAGACCCTCAGCTCCTCTCTGCCCACAGAGCCAGCACTGACTTCCCAAGGGCCTCAGGAATGTGGCACAATCACCTGCCATCACAGCGGAGAGCACCATCTTCCCTGTCCTACCCCACAGCAACTGATTCCATCTTCCGGATCCGCCACTCGTCTCTTCTAACCACTCAGGCTTCAAAATCTGACGCCTCCTTCGGTGCTCATTGGTCACGACCTGCTCCTGCTTCTGCCTGGCCTTCTAACCAGCCTCCGAAGCTCCTCTCTCTCTCACTCCTCAAAACCACGTATTTAACTGACCTGCAGCCCTTCCTAAAGCACTGCTGTGACCACATCTGTTGCCTGTCACATCTGCCACTCACTCAGCAACTGCCATGTGCCAGGAACCACTCTGGGCTCTGGGACAGAAGCAAGGGATGAAGCTTAGCCTGCTCTGAGGGTGCCATGCCAGGGCACACAGGTGCCAGCAGTGCAAAGGGCTACGTGAACAGAGGAGACTGTCTTAGGAACTCTGGAAAGATTTCACAAAGAGTCAGACAAATAAATTGGGCCTTGAAGGATAAGTGACTTCTTCCAAGAGGTAAAACTCTCCAGTCGAAAAATGGCAGGAGAGAAAGCACAGTGCAGGCCCCTCCACCGCCCGTCAGATGATCCCAGGGAGTGGCCTCCAACAGTGACCTTCTGATCCGAACAGCTGAACAGAAAGGCTCCCTCTCACTGCTCAGCCTAGATCATACTGCTCCTTGTTACCCTCCTCTCCGCGTGTCCGATCCTACACTCCAGACAAGGCCAGCTCGAGGGCCTCCGCCTGTGTTCTTTAGTGACCTAAATAATCAAAGTCTGAATCCCCAGATTTTTGTGGTATCACAATTTAGTCCTGCAATGTCCTATAGTCGCTCCACTTACTTGCTGATAGTCCCAACTGGAAAGACAGGTCTTTGAGAGGGAGCCCCACTCATCCTCCTACTTCCCTATTTGTACTTATATTGAAAATCTCCTAGCAGAGGGTGAAGGACACAACACAGTCCATATTCACGGATCTTTCTGGAGGCAATTAAGGTGACATCATCAACACACTAGACTTTTTAAAATGTATATCTTTTGGGGTGCCTGGCTGGCTCCTTGGTCAGAGCAGACGACTCCAAGCCTCATGTTGGGCATGGAGCTTACTTTAAAAAATAAAAATAAAAAAATAAAAAAGTATATCTTTTGATTCATTAACTACCTTTCTTAAAGAAAGAAGAAAATCAGACATTTGTGTACAAATATATTCATCATTGTCATTTATAATAGGAAATCCTGGGAATTAACTTCTGCCAACAAGAGAATATTTCAATAAATTATAAATGGGATATCATATAGCCATTAAAATTATATTTGAAGATATGTAATGACATAGGGAAATGTTCTTCATTTAACAACAGGAGAGAAAATGAGCACTAATACATAGAAGTGTTGAATCACTATATATTGTATACCTGAAACTAGCACTGTATGTTAACTAACTGGAATTAAAATTTTTCAGTTTTGGAAAAGGAATTGAAGGGAAAAGATTCTTCATTACGTCTAAATTAATATTCCAATTTTAAAACATACACACAAAGAAAAAACTGGCAAGAGAAACAGCAGAATGTTATCATTAGGCATCTTTGGGTGGTAGAATTGCAGTCAATTTTTATTTCCTTATTTGTATTTACTTGCACTTTCCAAATTCTCTACAAAAATTATGTAGAAAATAAAGGCATGCCTATAAGTGTTATTGTACAATCTCTCTCTCTCTCTCTCTCTCTCTCTCTCTCACACACACACACACACACACACACACACACACACTCACTGTTTTGGGAACTCAGCAGGGAAATAACTATTGACTGACATGATCTCTGGTATAGTTTAAGTGTGATATTGAAACAATGATCTGAGATACTTTTTGGTCCTAAAAATCTACAAATCTACTCTTGGACTTTTTCTCTTTAAAATGTTGACTTTTTATCATATCTTTAAACAAATTTAATAAGAAACTTCCATATAAAATGTTTAATATCAGGGCGCCTGGGTGGCTCAGTCGGTTGAGTGACCAACTTCAGCTCAGGTCATGATCTCTCACGGTTTGTGAGTTCGAGCCCCACGTCGGGCTCTGTGCTGACTCTGTGTCTCCCTCTCTCTCTCTCTGCCCCTCCCCCACTCATGCTCTGTCTCTCTCTCTCAGAAATAAACAAACATTAAAAAAAATTTAAAAAAATAAAATGTTTAATATATTTCAACTTATTAAAAATAAACTTGGGGCGCCTGGGTGGCGCAGTCGGTTAAGCGTCCGACTTCAGCCAGGTCACGATCTTGCGGTCCAGGAGTTCGAGCCCCGCGTCAGGCTCTGGGCTGATGGCTCAGAGCCTGGAGCCTGTTTCCGATTCTGTGTCTCCCTCTCTCTCTGCCCCTCCCCCGTTCATGCTCTGTCTCTCTCTGTCCCAAAAATAAATAAACGTTGAAAAAAAATAAAAATAAACTTATTACTTGGGGCACCTGCGTGGTTCAGTTGGTTGAGCATCCAACTCCAGCTCAGGTTGTGATCTCACAGTTTGTGGGTTTGAGCCCCACATCAGGCTTTGCAATGACAGTGCAGAGCCTACTTGGGATTCTCTGTCTCCCTCTCTCTCTGCCCCTCCCCTGCTTGTGTGAGCTCTCTCTCAAAAATACATAAATATTTTTTGAAAAATTTTTTAAATTGACCTATTACCAAGTAAATGATTTCTAATATACAATATTATATAAAAAGTGTATTTCTATGTCTATTGAGTAATAATTATCCTTCCCTGCTGAGTTCCTTTAGGAAAATGACTATGTCTCATTCTCCTTTGTAATCTGTGCCTCCCAACACAGTGCCTAGGCACCCATGATGCTCTCAGGAAGCCTGTATGAAATTGAGTATGTAATGATATGCACACCTACCACATCCACTAATTGAGATATTGCCAGGCCAAACTTTATTTTTATTTTGTCATTCAGGTGTTCCACAGGACGAACCCATCTTTCGTAGTCTTGAAATAAATCCTTTAACAAACTATCTTCATGTTTTGCAACAAAGGATGGTTCAGCTAACCCTGTACAACAAATTTTGAAAAGTTAGTGTATCAACTTCTCTCCCACCAAATACCTCTACTTTAAAAAATGTTTGGCTTTATCAATGAACCAAACTATTATTTAGGTTATTAATGGAGCTCTTAAAATAAAACATTGATACAAATGTTTATGACCAATAAGGGACACTGTGGTTTAGATACATTTCTTAGTTAAATCAGATTACTCACATGGAAGTACACTGAGTTCCTTAGGAAACATTCAGTACTTAATACAGAGTACTGTAATAAAAGATTTTAAGCTTTTAAATAAGTTACCAGGGCTAGAGGGGTTGCTTGTCATAAAATTCCAAACCTAGAAAATAGATATGTTCCAGTAAAGTTCATTTATCAACTGTAAATATAAAATACATAAGCTTTAATTTATATGATTTTAATATACAAACATACAAATACTGAATGAATTATTCAGATTTGTCATACCTTTGTTTGCTATCCATTTGTATAAAATTACCTTAGGACCTAACACTTAAAAGAGAGAGAAACAAAATTTTAAAAATTTTAGATGCCATAGCCAAAGACTGGTTAGATTTATGGGTCACAGTTACGTTCAGACTTCTATGGAGCTTAGTTAAACATCTCTGAAGAAATGAGAGTTTCAGTGTTGAATGGGTTGGAGTCTCTGTTAGGATACCTGAAATGTGTGAAATTCAAGCATGACATTGACTCAAGACTCATGATTTTACAAAGAAAAAACATTTACTTGAACCAAAATATCACTGGCTTATTTATCATAAAGTCCACATGCAGGGATTTATAGCTCATTACGGTCCTTCCCCAACCTCAACAAAATGGTCTGACAGAGAATTAGCACTTTCACAGAATCTTCTCTCTTTATTCTAACAGACCATGTTTTCTATGTGCAGCTATCAAAGAGCATCTCATTCCTCCAGCCAGAGGAAATGCCTATTTCTCCATCAGGAATGCAGCTTATTCCTAGAGCTTATGTCTTGCTCCCTTGCTGGGCAATTTAGGATACTTGATTTAATCCCGAAATACCATAGATTTTGCACCATGCCTCCCATAAAAGACTCCTTATGTTAAAATGCACAGCGTTGGTGGGGTGCCTGGGTGACTCAGTTGGTTAAGCGTCCAACTTTAACTCCGGTCATGATCTCACGGTCCATGGGTTCGAGCCCCTCCTCAGTGTCAGGCTCTGTGCTGACAGCTCAGAGCCTGGAACCTGCTTCAGATTCTGTGTCTCCCTTTATCCCTGCCCCTCCTCTGCTCTCACTCTGTCTCTCTCTGTCTCTCAAAAATGAATAAACGTTAAAAAAAAATTTTTTTTTTAATGCACAGTGTTGGAGAGATTTCAATTCAACTAGAATGTTTGTATTAGAGAGTCATTCTTTTTAATGTTTAAAAGCCATTAATTTTAGACCTTCATGTTAAAACAGCATCACTGGGGTACCTGGCTGGCTCAGTGGGTACAGCATGTGACTCTTGATCTTGGGGTTCTGAGTTCAAACCCCACGTTGGGTGTGGAGCCCACTTAAAATTTTTAAAAATTGTAAATAAAATAGAATTACTGAAACATTTCTCCTTTCCTAATCCTGTTTAAAAATTTTATGGACTCTGAAAAAAAAAATTATAGCCTCTGAAACACCAAAAGTTTGAGGTTGTTTGAAGGATAAAAATAACAAATAATATGTATTTTCATAGCACCTAAGAACCTTTTGCCTTAGGGGAAAAGATACTAGCTTCAATAGCCACTTCAAATCTTCTTTGGAAGAAAGAAGATAGGACATAAATAAATTGATAAATTAATCCCAACATTCTACTAATGATAACCCTTAAGATACTGCCTTGTAAATATCTTCTTAGTACATTCAATATTATAAATGTCATTTTTTAACACAGTTTTACACAAATGGCAGATACTAATGTCTGTGGTATTTTAGCACAAAACCTTAATCATGCATTCAATTGTTAGAGAATTTTCAGCTGGCTCTAAATGTTTTAGGCTTATGCTGCTCATAAACCTCAGAATGTTAAAAAGGAGAGGATCCAATTCATTCCCCTCACTTCAAAACAAGGATATATGACCAAAACTGCCAGGATTAGAGAGCTGGTTAACAGCGGAGCTGGGAAGGGCACCCAGGGCTCCCCTCCGCCTCCTGCTCTTTCCACCCTAACATCTTCCACCTGTGACAACTCTGTAACAGTGCTTAACTGGCGCTGCACTCTCTGAGAGCTCCAGCCCATACTGATTTTTGCTCATTCCACAAATATTTATTGGGCACGTGCCTCATATTAGGCACTGTGCCAAGTACTGGGAACACATGGATAAACAAAGACAGTAGGAAAGACTGACAAAGTGTATGTGATATTGTATGTAAGCTACATTCTATAGAAACTGAATCAGGGGCCTGGGTGGCTCAGTCAGTTAAGCATCCAACTTTTGGTTTCAGCTCAGGTCATTATCTCACAGTACATGCTTGGAATTCTCTCTCCCTCTCTTTCTCTGCCCCTCTCCCTCTCTCTCTCTCTCTCTCTCTCTCTCTCTCTCTCTCTCTCAAAATAAACTTAAAAAAAATTTTTTAAAGAAACTGAATCAAACGGAAATATTCTTTTTAAAAACTTGTTTTGGGGGCGCCTGGGTGGCGCAGTCGGTTAAGCGTCCGACTTCAGCCAGGTCATGATCTCGCGGTCCGTGAGTTCGAGCCCCGCGTCAGGTTCTGGGCTGATGGCTCAGAGCCTGGAGCCTGTTTCCGATTCTGTGTCTCCCTCTCTCTCTGCCCCTCGCCCGTTCATGCTCTGTCTCTCTCTGTCCCAAAAATAAATAAACGTTGAAAAAAAAATTTTTTTTAAAAACTTGTTTTGAATAGTTAACATTTGCTCATTCTACTCAAAATAAATGACTTAAATCAATTACTTTTGAACCTCGGTTCCTTAGAGTCCCAGGGCATTTCTTTTTCATACTATTTTTGACCAAGATTGTATACTATTTAGCATATACCGTTCTATGCTGTTTTCCAATTACATCACATAAGTCTTGGATCTCCAAAGAAACCAATGTCCCAAAAGGTAAAAATCATTTCTATACTTTAGCATTTCTACAGCCCTAAGTATAATGCTGATCACAATAGTTCCCTTAATACATTTTAGTTTTCCTTCCCTTACTGACTTAAAAAGAGAGAACTAGGAGAAAGTATTTGCAATCATTTATATAAGGGATGTATATCTAGAATAAAGGACCATTACAAACCAATAATAAAAAGACGAAATAACCCAATTTTAAAATGAGTAAGGGATCTGAATAGACATTTTTCCAAAGAGGAACAGCCAGTGAGTATCTGAAAAGATATCCAACACCTTTACCATCAGAAAAATGCAAATCAAAGCTACCATTTCCCACCCAGTAGGAGGGCTGCAGTCAAACACTGAGACAGCAACAAGTGTTGGAGAGGGTGTGGAGACACTGGGACCCTTATATACTCCTGATGGGAATGTAAAATGGTGCAGTTGCTTTGGAAAACATTTGGCAGTTCCTTAAAAAGTTAAATATAGGGTCACAATACCTAGTAATTCCATTCCTGGTACCCACCCCAGACAAATGAAAACAGCTGTCCACACAAAACTTGTACCCGACTGTTCACAGCATTATTCATAAGAGCCAAAAAGTGGAAACAACCCAAATGTCCATCAAATGATAAATGGATAAAATGTGGAATATCCAATGGAATATTAATTTGCCATTAAAATTAGTGAATTAATGATACATGATACAGGTGAACTTTTTAAGTATTAAGTATTATGCTAAGTAAAAGAAGCCAGTCACAAAGACTATATATTATATTATATGATTCCATTTACATGAACTATCCAGAATAGGCAAAGAGGATGGTTTGGGGGAAGAGGGAGGAAAAAAAATGTTCAAATGTCAATTTTGATGACAGTCACACTAGCCTGAATATACTAAAAATCAGTGAATCATGCACTTTAAATAGGTGAACTAAATGGTGTGGGAATTATATATGGATAATGCTGTTACTAAAAAGAGAAACTTACAGCACTTTGGTGGCTCAGCCAGTTAAGTAGTCTACTCTTGATTTTGGCTCAGGTTGTGATCTCACGGTTTGTGAGTTCAAGCCCCATGCCGGGCTCTGCACTGATATCGCAGAACTTGCTTTGGATTCTCTCTCTCTGCCCTTTCCCTGCTTGTATTCTCTCTAGATAAATAAATAAACTTTAAATAAATAAATAAATTTATATACATATATATAAATTTATATATATATATACACACACACACACACACACACACACACACACATATATATATATATAAAGAGAACCTCTTTATGACTGAATTATGACTAGGAAATACGTGTACAATACAGCAGTGAATCACAGTTGAGAACATGTAACAAGCAATATAGATATAACCTTTGGAAAAATCTTATTTGAATAGTTACCCCACAAGTTTTCCTTTGCAAATAATAAAAATAAAACCAAATGTGCAATGCCACTGCACTTATTTTCTTTCTTTCTTTCTAATATTTTATACCTTTCCTAGTAATAGTCTATTTTTTTTTAATGAAGACTTTATTCCTCTAAACAAACACTGATGAATTCTACCAAACATTCAAAGAAGAATTAACACTAACTCTTCTCAAATTCTTTCAAAATACAAAAGAGGAATAAACACTTTCAAATTCATTTTCCCAGGCCAGCATCACCCTGATACCAAAACCAGACAAGGACTCCACAGAAAAGAAAATCCAATCCAATCCAAAGGTCAATATCCCTGATAAACACATATGCAATAATCCTCAACAAAACATATTAGCAAATTGAATCAACAACACATTAAAAGGATCATACACCATGAATGGGTGGGATTTATTCTAGGGATGCTACATGGTTCAATATCAACAATATCCACAAATCAATATGATAAACCACACTTAAAAAATAAAAGATAAAAACCATCCGATCATCTCAACAGATGCAAAA